CAATTAAAAGAACCAAAGACTTAAACTACTTCAGTCTGTGTGCATTGAATTGATTTAATACACGAGTTTCACAATTTGAGTTGAATTACTGAAATAAATGAACTTTTCCATGACGTTCTAATTTATTGAGATGCACCTGTACAGGGCAGATCAGGGTAAATAGCAGCATTCATGTTTTATTTTACTTGCATAAAGATACATAGAGTACAGATATAGTTGCCTCCCAGGGCAAACTTGAGACGTACAGTTATTTTATAAATTTTTTACACCATGTTTATGGATTTAGGGAATGTGCCAGATTTTCCAGCTTTTTTTTTTTTTTTTTCATTTTAGAGACGTTATGAGTTCAAATATCTTTATCTCTGTTCTGTTGTTTGAAATTTTATGCAACATCTAAAGTTTTGTTATGAAAATAATACAAAGCTTATATGTGTTGTACAGATTCCACAGATGAACAAGATACAAATGTACACATGGACAAATAATGGATTAAATTTTGTATCTTTGTCATTTTAATACAATAAAATGTGACTGAAATGAAAACGTTGTAAATAATTAATTTTCCCACATGTACTCATTTTAATTCATCTGCTTCTTGAGCAATTAATTATTACCTGAACACATAGTCTGAAATCTAGTCTAAAACAGACATTAGCAATTGATACGTTCCGTGAACACAATGCAGTTTAAATGCAAGAGAAACCAACATTAAATGGCCATTTAGTCATAGTCGTATCAGTTTCATTATCACTAAATCTACACTCTTAAAAATAAAGGTGCTTCAAAAGGTTCTTCAAGCAATGCCATAGAAGAACCATTTTTGGTTCCACAAAGAACCATTCAGTCAAAGGTTCTTTAAAGAACCATCTCTTTCTTACCTTTTTATAATCTGAAGAACCTTCTTTCGCCACAAAGAACCTTTAGTGAAACAAAGGTTCTTCAGATGTTAAAGGTTCTTTATGAAACCATTTAGACAAAAAGATTCTTCTATGGCATCGTGAAGCACCTTTATTTTTAAGAGTGTATAAGAGTTAAAGGCAGGGTAAGCAATTTCGGAGAGGCTAGCAATATCAAGCTAGCTCCCACCCTCCCTGCAAATCACTCTCCAAAGCCACGCCTCCTCCAAAACACCTGAACACACAGGTAGACCAGAGACTAACCAGCAACACCATGAGAGGCGGCGTTGAATGCAACGCTGTCAGATTAGCTCATGTCTTATTCACTGGTGAGAAAACATTACAGTACAAAACGCATAATATTACAATAATAACGCCTTCCATTCTCGCTCAGTACGCAATAGCGTAATGACGCATACATACAAATACAGGTGGGACAGCCTATCGTAGCCCGAAGGATATGATTGGACAAACATCTTCCACAGACATATAAATACATTTAGACCACTTAACTTAGTGATTGCTATCAGGATGTGAAGAGACTTTATTTTTTTATTATGCCTTTTATTTAGATAGGACAGTAGGTCGACAGGAAGCGAAGTGGGTGGGATCGGGAAAGGTCCACGCGCCGGGACTCGAATTCGGGACACCCGGCGCTACAAGTCTGCGCGCTGCCCATGAGGCCATCGGCTCCAACGTTAAGATCTTCAGCCAGCATAACAAAAAATGTTTTTTAACCAAATCACCTATACCCTGTCTTTAATGCAAGTTAAAAGTCGTGATATCATCTTGTTTTGAACGTCTGAGTGAGCAATTTTCTGTGAATGTGCGAATGTCTAGAAGAAAATCAAAGTACGGTAAACGGTGAAACTATTTGCGCCACAAACCAGTGTATTTACATTTAATCAATTAAAATAATAAGGTTAAGAAATACTTGTTTACAATATTAAGCAGCATAACGAGCTGTTTTGTACCGCTAGCGGATAAAACCGGAAGTCTTGCACATTCACGTTACAAAAATAGCCGCACATGCTCTTAAGTTAAAAATAAGGTGGAAAAGCAGGAAAGTGCTCAATAGTGCTGATAAAATACAAAATTATACAAGTTATTGTGCCTAATGTGAAACATTTCCGATGCTTTTATTGCAATTAAAAATCAGATCTACTGCAATAAAAGTATAGTCAGTCAAAATTAAAATCAGTTGTTCTGTACAAAATTAAACTATTTCTATTGGAAGTTGCTTATCAAGGCCTCTAGATGGTGCTGTATTAATTGAGATCTATTTCTATAGAAACAAAACTTGTGAAAGGCCATCATCATTAAACAAATAATCTTTAATGCATGCATTTTTTACAAAAGTGCAGGTTTTTCTGAGCATGTTTTTTTCTGTGCAAATGACAGCTGTAAACATTGTTGATAATGTCAGTTAGTGAGCAAAGCCACAATACTATAAAAATTTGCCTGAAGTTAGTTTTAGTTCCTCTGAACAGGTTTGTAATTGCCGTTTCCTCTTTCTGTGTCACAAACTGAATAACAGACAGGCATATAGAGAGAAAATGACTTGTGGCATGTTACAGACGTGCACAAAATGTCAAATATATATATATTTTTTTCTGATGTGCACAAAAAGGATTTATTTATTTATTCATATTGCACTAAAAACAGTTTTAATTTTGTATTAGATTTTTCAGTTTTTGTCTGTTTAAGACTTAAGTGTAAACACCATTTTTGCATTTGAGTATCAGCACTTTGCTACATTTATTTTCACAATTTGCTGATTTGCTTTTATCTAAAATTTTAATCCTCATGATATGAGCCCTTTAACTACATACTGTTCAATGCTGTTTTAGTATGCATGTAAAATAATGTTTTCAATACAATACTTTGTCCAGGAAGGTTTGTCTGAGTCTGAATCTCACAGTAAAGTCATCCGCAGTTGCATAAGGCAGACTTTTTGATCACAGGTGGCTCTTTTTTAATGGTGGCCCCAACCGTTAACCCCTGCCAGTCATCTCGGGTGGGTATTTTGCCTTGCTGGAAGAGGTTATATATGCCTCTGGTCAAGGTCTCAAACACCTCCCTGACATTAATGTTCTCTTTTGTAGACACCTCAAGATAAGCAAGCATGTTGAGTTTTTTAGCCAGAGCGTCTCCTTCACTCTTCCTGACCTGTCGTCCCACGGCCAGATCACATTTGTGACCCACAAGCACGAAGAACATTGGGTTCGGTTTCACATAGTCCAGGACTTCCTGATGCCAGCTGCCCACACGATCGAACGTCTGTCGCTGCGAGACGTCAAACATCAGGATGCAGCCCACAGAGTTCCTCATATAAGACTTACATATGGACCTGCAGGAAAAAGGGTCAGAGTCACGCATGCTGAGGAACTGAGCAACTCCACTGAATATTTTCGGGTGGGTTTATTTCAAATAAATAAATAAATGTCATTCTTTTTTATTTATTTTATTTTTTATTTCTGCATTGAAACACATTTTAAAGTCTTGACAATAACAAAGTACTTAATATTTTTACAGTTATTAGTAGGGAGAAAAAAAAGATATAGATAATTTAATTCAGGTTGACAGCTGTTTATTGACACTGATTTATGAAGAACACCTCTTTTTTTGAAATATGCAAGTATGAAATACGGTTGAAGTAAACAGCTGTTTCTCAAAACATACCTTTATGCCTTTGTTTTTGTTTAATTGTTATTTTTTTTCCTTTTATAGCAAAATTTAAACAATGAAACAGAAAAGAATTAATGAAAATAGTGATGGTGATTTTGCTCTGATAATATATGACAGCAGACATGTTACAAAAGTTTGAATTCCTAAAATGATACTCCAGCAAGAGCTATAAAGATCTGCATTGGCAACAGAAGGTTTTTCATTTCTTTTAATAAAAAAAATTAATTAAAACAAAAACTATCTATATTATTTTTCAAAATAGGGAAATATATACACTACCGTTCAAAAGTTTGGGATCAGTAAGACTTGTAATGTTTTTTAAAGAAGTCTCTTATGCTCACCAAGGCTGCATTTATTTGATCAAAAATACAGGAAAAATGTAATATTGTGAAATATTATTAAGATGTAAAATAAAATTTTTCTATTTTAATATACATTAAAATCTAATTTATTTCTGTGATCAAAGCTGAATTTTCAGCATCATTCCTCCAGTCTTCAGTGTCACATGATCCTTCAGAAATCATTCTAATATGCTGATTTATTATCAGTGCTGGAAACTGTTGTGCTGCTTAATATTTTTTTGGAACCTGTGATATTTTTTTTCAGGATTCTTTGATGAATAAAAAGTTAAAAAGAAGAGCATTTATTTAAAATAGGAATATTTTCTAACAATATGCACTACAGTTCAAAAGGTCAGTCAATTTTTATCCTTATTTTATTTTATTTTTTACTTTTATTCAGCAAGGATGTGTTAAATTGTTAAGTGATAGCAAATATTTATATGTTGTTAGAAAAGATTTATATTTAGAATAAATGCTGTTCTTTTTAACTTTTTATTCATCAAAGAATCCTGAAAAAAGTATCGCAGTTTCCCCCAAAAAATAGTAAGCAGCACAACTGTTGCCAACATTGATAATTCTAATAATAAATCAGCATATTAGAATGATTTCTGAAGGATCATGTGACACTTTATACTGGAGTAATGGGTGATGGAAATTTAGCTTTGCATCACAGAAATAAATTATATTTTAAAGGATATTAAATTAGAAGCCATTATTTTATATTGTAATAAGTTTTTGCAAGATTAGTTTTTTTCTGTATTTTTGATCAAATAAATGCAGCCTTGATGAGTATAAGAGACTTCTTTAAAAAACATTACAAGTCTTACTGATCCCAAACTTTTGAACGACAATGTATTTAAAATGGTGAAATATATAATATAATATTTAAAATAGTGAAATAAAACGTAAAAGATCATCAGACGAATTTTGGCCAATAGAAAAGTTGAATAACTAAAATGACAGCATTTAAAATGTGTGTGACAACTTGCCCCGACCTGCCATTTATGAGAATAACCTTTGTCCAGAGAGCAGTTCTACCTTTGATTTCAAACCTACCTTTATATATATGTGACCCTGGAGCACAAAAGCAGTCTTAAGTCGCTGGGGTATATTTGTAGCAATAGCCAAAAATACATTGGTTGGGTCAAAATTATAGATTTTTCTTTAATGCCAAAACTCATTAGGATATTAAGTAAAGACTATGTTCCATGAAGATATTTTGTAAATTTCTCACCGTAAATATATCGAAACTTCATTTTTGATTAGTAATATGCATTGCTAAGAACTTAATTTGTACAACCTTAAAGGAGATTTTCTCAATATTTAGATTTTTTTGCACCCTCAGATTCCAGATTTTTAAATAGTTGTATCACAGCCAAATATTATCATATCATAACAAACCATACATCAATGGAAAGCTTGTTTATTCAGCTTTCATATGATGTATAAATCTCAATTTCGAAAAATTGACATTTAAGACTGGTTTTGTGGTCCAGGGTCACATATTATAATGACTCTTGTCTTATCTTTGTGTTTTATTGTGTAGCCCAAAATGCAGATACTGAAATTGAAGTTCGGAGGATAAAATTAACCAAACTCATCCTAATTTAAGACTTGAATTAGGATTTTAAAAATTAGCCCTGGCCTCCCTTATAATTCATCTATAGTCTGTTGTCCCACTTCTGTCATTTATAATCTGCAGGTTTTGAATTCGCATAAACTTTCAACATGTCAGAAAGAAATGACAATAAAATAACATGAGTGTAACCTCACGTACAGTATATGATCTGGTGGGTTTCACTGATAGACACTCACCTAAATCTCTCCTGGCCTGCAGTGTCCCACAGAAGCAGTTTGATCACAACATCAGGGTCAAAGTTCATGTTGTGCACCTTGAAATCAATTCCCAGTGGAGACTGACGAGATTCATCAAACGTTCCTTCAGTGAAGCGATGCAGAAGAGACGACTTCCCTACGGATGAGTCTCCCAGAATCACTATCCCGAATCTAAAGTTCCACGGCACTTGCATCGTGAGCGGCTCGTGTTACAATCTCTGTCAGTGCCTCAAAACTCAGCAAAAGTCTTTACCCTCTGGTGACTGAACAAACAGGTTAAATAGCACAAAGAGGGAGAGGTTTGCAGACCTCCACACCTCTTTCATAACAATAGCCAGGTTGTGAAAACGTGGCATTGCAAACAACAGAAATTGCACAATGAGAAACAGTATATCTGTGCTGAGGATGTGATATGTGCTGCATACTGTCATGAAATATCATATGCAACACTATTGTCAAAGCATTTATGCCTGTAACACAAATACTGCATAGTTTAATTAGTTTAAATCTACAAGTTGAATTAGTGTTTGATCACAACAATGATGCTTATCTTAGTAAACACCACTTTTATAAACACCAGTATTATAATAAATTAATTAAATATAATATTTGTGGCTGTTCCTGACCTTCTGGGATCTTTCTTCTCAGAAGGACTCGCAGAAGAAAAGCGTGTTCATATTTGTGAGAACCGGTTTGAACTGTTGGCAGCACTTTGTTAAAAATAGTTATGGTGTTCTCTAGGGCTGGGTAAAAAATATCGATATCTCGATTTTAATCGATTCTCATTTTTACGGAACGATATCGATTCCTAAATCCCAAGAATCGATTAGTCTAGCCTGTTTTCAGTTAATGGACGGAACATTGACACTTGGGCACTTCCCATCCAATATATCGCAATGAGCATTGTGCTTTGGTACTTTTAATATGAAACAAAGTCTCAGATTTCAAATTCTGTCCATTGCATTGCAGTATTCAAACAATAAATGCCGTTTTGGCGCTGTTTAATGTGGAGTGACAGATCGATAGCGCCTCAGTTCAACAGACGAGGCAGCGCGTGGCGCACGTTTCAGCACAAAATAAACATGACTAAACACATGAAGGTAAGTTAATAGAAAGGGTGCAACTTTACAAGCTGTATCCTGTCTCATGTAATCGCTCAATCAGTGTTTCAGCCGCGCAAAGACGTCAATATAAGAGCTTGTAAACAATGTCACGTAACGTCACATTTACCTCAGAAAAACATATTCGTTGACCATAAACTCATTAGTCAGATAGAAAAATAAACTG